AAAAAAAAACGTTTCACACCAGAAAAACAATTTGGAGAGCTTAACTGGAGAACTGCCCGCAACCAAAATTAAGTAGTTAAAAATAAATCTTCAATGCATGTTGTAGTGTCTAGTGCTTAAGTAACTCGTTGCGAAAGTTTGCAACATTACGAATGGTTTGTAGACGACACCGACACGTAAGTCGAATCAATGACGCAGTCATGTACACAAACTAACTTTTTTTAGAAAACAATTTATCGCAGAAAACGGATAATAACAAACACACATTTGCCGAGATCCGCATAGGGAAAAACTGTACCCTCTGTCTTGAGTATGGCCTTCTGCGTTCGGCCTTGGGCTATAGCCAAGATTTGGGGCACAGTTTTTCCCTATACAGACCTCCCGCCCGGCAAGAAAAAACAAAACAAAACAAAGCAAAACAAACAAAACATCTACATTTTCAAAGAAGCAAAGCCGAGCCGATTAAAAAGAATAATAAGAAAATAAAAACCGGGTGTAATTATTTGTTTACGATGAGAGCCACTGAGACAAGAAGGCATTTAAAGTTAAATTCAAATGGAAAATAATAACAAAAAATAAAAACAAAAAACAAAAAACAAAAGACAAACCTAGGAAAACCTCAGTGTAATCACTTGTATTGTATTTTAATCAGTATTGTTAGGTGTGGTAATATTGACCTGCCAAAGTATTATTGCTTGAAAGTTGAAAATTGTTGCCAGCAGCCTTAAAAGCTAAGTGTACAGTTGCCCAAAACGAATCCTTCGTAATATACGGAAAATGCATAAATATTACTTACTTATGGAATGCCATCGAGTCACCAGCCGTACCATTGTATCCTCCAATCAAAAGCCGGTACTTATCTGCCTCGTCTGCCACCTTAAAAGTCGTGTACTCAGCGTATGTTTTGTTCCCATCGAAGTCTTCCAGGTCAACTCTCAGTATGGTGTCATCAGTGGCTGTCAAACGGTGAAGATTGTCATTTCCAAGCCAGAACTCGCCTTTCAGATCTCCAAACCCGTTTTTGTAGGATTCCCAACCAAGATAGAAGTCAACAGAGCCGTCTAAACGTCGCTGAAAAACTGTCCAACCTCCACCATCCGTGGTCATGTCACACAACACTTGTATTGGTTTGCCGCCATCTAGACTAATTGCGTACACGCCACTGGATATCAAACCAAATTGAATGAGTTTGGAACAGCTTTTGATGGGCTCTGTTAAAGCAAGAAATAAATAATGTCATTTCCTTATTCAAAAACTATATTCCTGCATGCCAAGTTCTTACGTACTGCAAGGCGTTCCTATGAATCCATCATTGCACTTGCATTGCACGGTGTCATCTTGATAGTTGGGGATGCAGATTCCTTTGTCACCACAAGGGGAACTGTCCGTCTCACAGGTACTCTGTGTAAAATAATTATTGATATTTTAGTTTTGCTACCTTCGCTGTTATCATTATGCTCTAAGAAAGCTGGATCT